TATTCCTTTCTCTCACTCTCCAGTGTCTACTCTATATTATAATGCAAGGGAAACCAAGATTAAAACAAACAAACAAACAAACAAACAAAAACAGTCAAGCATCTTAACATGATCCCCCCCCCATTCCAACCATGACTCAATCCCTGTGTCTCAGAGCCCTGTTGTTCCAAGGCTGTGCGTGTATCATCGTTTATCTCTGTCCCATTTAGTCCTTTAGAACATGCCCAATTGTTCTCCCCTCTGCCCCGTTTCTCTACTTCCTTCTCCCCTCCCTAGCATCCAAGCTCTCCTGTCTACACCACTATTCTTATTGTTATTCTTTGTAATTTAAATAGCCACGCATCACAAACCAACAATAGCCACTGTCACTGAGTCTATTTTGACTCATAATGACGCTATGGGACAGAATAGAACTCCTAGGGTTTTCTGAGACTGTAAATCTTTAAGAGAGTAGATAGCCTCTTCTTACTCCCAAGGACCTGCTAGTGGATTTGAGCCACCAATCTTTCTGGACCTTGACCACCCACTCTCATAGTCATAATCTATCTTGTCATTAATAGTACCTACACTCTCTCCATGGCACACCACCACCATCACCACCACACCCTCTCCAAAGTTTGTTTTAAGCCTTCCATTGAATATCTCTACCTGTTTTCTCTTTGCCATCATCTCTAGGAGTCCTAGTGACTCACTCAGTAGTTAAAATGCTCTGCTGCTAACCAAGAGGTCAGTGACTCGAACCCATCAGTCACTCTTTGGGAGAAAGATATAGCAGTCTGCTTCTGTACACATTTACATCCTTGGTGCCCAGCTATCCCTACCAACCACTCTGCAAAGGGATCACATTAGAAAGTCCTGGATAGAGTGGGAGAAAATATGGAACAAAACCAAAAATCGTAAGAAAGACCAGGTTTGTTGGTCAATATAAACTTTTGGAACCCCGAGACTGTGACCCTTGGTCAAACCCTTGGAACTGAACCCCAGGATTCAATTTTCAGCGAAACTTGGTATATAAGGGAACTGCACACTAGTGAGGTCTGCACATCATAGACTGATCAACTGTTGGAGATCAAAATGGCAACATTAACCCAAGGACAAAGTTCAGAAGGGTTGGAAAAGGAGGAATGGAAACAAAATACAGGGAAGAAGTGGGATGCGTGATGTTACCTTGAGGAGACAGTAATCAGTGAGGGGAAACGGAGTTTAGATGTACTGAAAGTAAAAATGATCATCTGCTCTATAAGCCTTCACTCAATTCACAAAAAGTTAAAAAAAAAAAAAAGGGGGGGGATATATCCTTGGAATTCCTATTGGATACTTCTAATCTGTCCTGTAGGATTGCTATACATCAGAATCGATTCCATGGCAGTAGGTTTGGTATCTTAATGTTCATGTTCTCTTGAGTGGTCTCATTTTATCCCTTGTCTTTAAATATTGATTCTTCTGCTGACAACCCTCAAAATGGTATCTCTAGTTCCAACCACTCCCTTGATTCCAGACTTGTACATCCAGTTTCTTCTTGAATTCTATATTGATGTCTAATATAAGTCACCTTAAACTTACCATGCCTTCCACAATTTTTTGATCCTTATCTTTCTAATTTAAGGAGCTCTGATAGCATAGTGGTTACAAGTCAAGCTGCTAACCTCAACGTCAGCATTCCTCGGGAGAAAAGTGAGGTCTTTCTGCTCCCGTAAAGATTTACAGCCTCAGAATCTCTGTACAGGGTCTCTATGAGTTGGAACCGACTTCATGGCACACCACCACCACCATCTTTCTAATCTTACCTCCTTCAGTCTTCCCCATCTCAGTACATGTCATCTCTGTCCTACCTTTTGAAACTTTTGGAGTAAATTCTGAGTCCTCTTTCTCTTAAGCTCTCTATCCACCCATCAGCAAATCCTCTGGATTTAGACTACTTCATACCATTTGTACCACTGTTGCTCTCCTTCTCCTGTCTACTTTAATTTCTCTTCCTGACTGGTCCTCTTGTTTCTGTTCTTATGCACACTCTGTCCTTATAGTCTGCTTCTCTCCCCCACCCTGCTGTACTATTCACAGTGACTATTTTTTAAATGTAAGTCAAGTCAATCATTCCTTTGTTCATAACCATCTAATGACTTCTTGGTTCATCAGGAAGGGAAGCTGAAGTTTTTAACTGTGGCTTTTTAAGGTCCTACATTATTTGTGTCTTCCCTTTCCTTCTCCAATTTCTTGCTGCTCCCTTTACTCACTCTTTTTAACCATACTGTCCTCACCTTCAAAAGTGCTGTATTTAGAAGAGATTGAAGGGTAAGTGTGGAAGCCAGAAGATCAGTTATAGGATTATTACCGTAATTCAGGTAGGGGATATTGATGGTTTGGGACTGTTGGGATTATGCTGGAGGTACTGAAAAGTGGTCAGATTAAGCATGTAATTTGATGATTGGAGTTTCAGCATTGGTTGGGTACATTATTTCCCCCTTTAAACATCATGAATGTTTATCTGCTTTAAATAAGGACAGCTTATAAATGATTTCTAGTAGCAGAGGTAGAATTACTGCTTCTTGCTTCTTTATGTAAAGTCATAAAATAGATCTAGTTATCCAGACTCGTGAAATTTTCTTTTTGGTTACCCTCCCAAATATTACTGGATTGTCTGATCTTCAGTGACTAATGCTTTGGGCAGATAAAAATGCCTTAGTTCAGCCAGTACTTTCCTGAATTGGCTCTGTGTAGTATGACCTTTCCCTTATTCTTGTATTCAGTGTTATATTAAAGTATGCATATCCTTCATGCTAAATGAAATGTGAACAAGAGGGATTCTTCCTGGTATTTGGATGCAGTATCCTCTTTCTTTGATTCCTTGGCACCAGGTTCTGAATGATTACCCATTTTTTTCCAAAAAAATTCATATTGTCATTAAAAAAAAGTCATGTTGTCTTGACAGTTTATTAGTGATTTTTATTTTTCAGGTGATGTTGTTGTTATTAAGTGCTGTTGTGTTGGTTCTGACTCAGCCATCCTATGAATAGGGTCAGAAACCTACACTTTCATCCTATACTCTTAGGGAGATTTCAGTTGAACTTCTAATACAGTTGAACTTCTAATATGTAAAACTATATGTAATAATCAGAGCTGAATACAATCTCTCCCAGGCACACTCAATGTTCTCTGGAAGTTTCAGCACCTTCTTCAAAATTCCTCCCGCCCTCCCTCCCATCAGAACCCCTCCAATTAGAGGTGGGGAGAAAAATAATATTTTTTAAAATACTGCTTTTTAATGAAAATTCTCTCTGCTTATAGGGATTTTAAAGAATGAAGCCAGATAAATTGTTGATAAACATCAAATAAACAAGAAAGTATATATAAAAGCTGAATGTACTATTAGGATCGTCAGCTTATAAGATTTTTGGCAAAGGCATAATGTATCTTACGTTTGAGTACCTTAAACTGCTAAAATCCATATTAATTAGAATAATTTATTATCTAAAAGGAGCCCTTTTGTGGTGCTAGCTCGTAGGATAAGCACGGACTGCTAACCACAAGTTGGCGGTTCAAACCCACCAGCTGTTCCACAGAAACCCTACTTAGGGTCGTTATGAGTTGGAACTGACCCAACATTACTTAACAACAAGAAGTAACATATTGCTGTTGAGTCCATTTCGGCACATAACGACCCTACTGGCTATAAATCTTTAAAGAAGCAGACTGCCTCGTCTTCAGAGGGACGACTGGTGGGGTTGGACTGCTACCCTTTCTGTTAGCAGCCCAGAGCTTAATCCTTTGCCATCAGGGTTCCTAAAAATAAGATGAAAGGGTGGATTTTTATCATTTTGCTAAGATCTGGTAGCGTAGTGGTTACGAATTGGGCTGCTAACCTCAAGGTCAGCAGTTTGAAACTACCAGCAATTCCGCGGGAGAAAGATGAGGCGTTCTGCTCCCGTAAAGATTTACAGCCTCGGAAACCTTGTACAGGGTCGGTATGAGTCAGAAGTGACTCCATGGCACACCACCACCACCACCACCAGGTTAATGATGTGCATGTGGGTCCCAGAATTGTCAAGGCCCTTAAGAATATAGTTTAGGTTCCAGTCAGGCCTTTGGAATTTATTCTAATTTACAGCCACACCATAGGGCACAGTTGATTTACCATGAGGAGTTTAAAGTTTGAAGAATCTTTTAATTTGTTCCTAGGACAACCTTTGAAAATTCTGTACCTGAACTGAGTGACAGTGGATGGTTTTCGGGACTAGGGTGAACTTAGGCAGGTTGTAGAAGACCCCAAGGGTTCAACCTAAGGCTCTCAACTATCCCCTGGCAGCATTAATTTACCTACAAGTTTTACTTTATTTGTATGCATTTAATGTGTTTCAGTACTTGTTTAGAAATTCTAATGTTTTATTTGCCTTTGTTTATTTTGTGCACATGTGTTTCTTTTTAATGCTAACTATATTTTCCCCTCTAACTTTTATATTTACAGTGAATACAATCAAGCGACATTTTTTATTTTGCTGGAAATTGAAGATATGAAGCTGAAGTTATCTCTTTTAAAAGAACCAAAACATATCCTTCTAATCCAAATGTTATTGTAATCATTTTATTGTAGTGTTGTTAAAAGTTTTCTCTTATTTAGTATTCTAGTTAGAGAATGGAGTTGGTTTTTTTTTTTTTTCATTTAATGGCAGCTTAACTAAATTGTTTTAGAAATATTGAAGGTTATGTGTGTTCAGAAAACTTTCCAAAGCAAACTATTTGCGCTTAATCTTACTTTCAAATTCTTATTGACATTTTTCATACTCAAGTATAGTACTTAAATACACAAGCAGCAGTTTTTGTTTAGTCTAGCAGGATCATAGAGAAACTTTTTCTTTGTACACCAAATAATTTCTTTGCTTACGTGAGCTTGTGAATGTTCATTTAGTTCTGCTCTATCCACACTCATGATAAAGTGGAGGAAAAAGTGGGGAAGCTGAGCAGTCAGACCTGTATTATTTCACATGAGAAGATGCAATAATTATTTTCTCAAATCCATCATCCACTATTTTGTCACCAAGAGTTTTCAGTTATGATTGGCCCCTTTAACATCATTTTTAGTCATTCAGACAATGCTATTCAAAGTATAATTTATAGACTTTATTGCAGGCCTCTTAAGTGATACTTAGAAAAATTGGAAGTAAATTTTGAGAAATTTTTATAGTCAATTGACATTACCACAACATCCAAATATAAGAATTTTTTTTTTTGCAATTTATCTTTATTCTGTTTTACAAACGTTAGTATATTGTTGTTGTCATTGTTAAGCATTGTGGAGTTGGTTCCAACTCATAGATACCATGTATAGGGTTTCTGAGGAGCAGCTGATGTGTGTGGACTGCTGACCTTGTGCTGTTAGATCCAGTGTTGTCTGTCAATATAGAGTGGGTTTGAAAAAAGAAGACTCTGGTCCTGCGTTCAGAGATTATTAGAGAAGCACCCTCTTGAATTTGCCTTTTTGAATTTTTGTGTGGTTTTCATTTATATTGTTTTATCTGCTTATTTTACTTATTTGTTGTTAACTGCCGTTGAGTCAGTTCTGACCCATAATTTTACTTACTAGGTAATGATATAATTCCTTTTATTTCTTCTTAAACAATTTTTAATCTTTTGTTAAAGTGTATCCTCTGTAGTTCACGACATACACAGTATTATAGATTTGGCTGTGTCTGTCCACTGCCCTTGCTTTTTCAAATTGAAGAACAGTACTCTTTCTAGGCTTTCCTTTCATTTCTCCTATTATTGTAGTTGACCTAGTAGTTTGAAAATATAGGGACCAAAAACGGAATCAGGTATCTCTGATATGCACTTGTAGACATTTGTATAAAGGTTAGCCAGTGTGTTTTGGTTTGGGATGTGCATGTATGGTTTCTCCCTTTCTAGATTTTGCCTAACATTGGTTAGGCTACAGCATTTATATTAGAATGTTTTTGTTCAGGAATGATCTGGTGACATCGTTTCTTTTGTTTAGATTGTGATTTGTGTACTGAGCACTCCATGCTATTTTACTGTCTATTTGTGCAGACTCTTAGTACATTCCAATAATGCCTTTACCTTTTTGGTTATTTGCTTAATCTGTCATCCTTTGATGTATTTAAAAAAAAAATAAAGATCTTGGAACATCCCAGAATAATTGTGGCACATTGTTTCTTTCTCTTAGAGCTTATTGACTACTCAGATGAACCATTTTAAGTATTGGTGAGAAAGTTAGGAAAGAAAAGGATTCTTTAATAACAAATCCTGGTGTGGTGTTGTAGGATAAAGCAAAGTTGGTTTGAGCCTAAAGGTTAGTGGTTTGAAATCAGTAGCCGCACCTCAGAAACCCTATACAGGGCCACTAAGTGTCAGAACTGACTCGATGACACTTAACAACAACAACATAGTAACAATAAAAGAACAAACCCAACCAGTAATAATCTGGAAATACAGACGTTTTTAGAAAGGAGAAAAACTGCTTTATAAGTGATGAACTGAAATACCTTATGCATGCACACAGGTTTTTTTTTGTGTGTGTGTGTGGTTTGGGTGAAAGTTTGTAGAGCAAATTAATTTTTCATTCATCTTTTCTTTTGTAACATTATTTTGCATTTCCCTCAGTGTAACATTACTGCTCTTGATTCCTCCCTGGGTTCCTCTTTTCTGTTCTTCCTATTTTCTTGCCTCTTCCTACTTTCTGAGTCTTATTTTGAGCAAATGCTGACTTTTTAGTCTTCTGTGGAGTCCTGGTGTGGCACTGTGGGATAATAAAGTACTGGACCGCAAGGCCAGTTTGAACCACAAGGTCAGTGGTTCTGTACCAGGTCTCTGAGTCAGAACCGACTTGATGGCACATAATAATAACAACAACAATATGGTTGATTATTCTGCGGCATATGTTCCTTGTAAATGATTGTTTACTTAATAGCCTATGTTATTTGCATTCAGGGTGATCCCTGGGGGTAGGTTTAATTCTAGGTTTGAAGAGTGTTTAAAGGCCATAGTCTCAGGGGTTTCACTAATCTCAGTCAGACCAATAGATCTTTTTTTTTTTTTTATGATTTTGAATTTTGTTCCACATTTTTCTCCCATTCTGTCCAGACCTTCTGTTGTCCTGAACAGACCTGTTGTTAGTAGTAACAAGTCCTCATTCTAGGTCGTCTGGTCTCAGGGTAGCAGAAGCTGTGGTTTGCATGATCTGTTAGTCCTTTGGATTAATAGTTTCCTTGAGTTTTGATTTTCTTCACTCTTCTTTCCTCCCGGTGAAGATGTAGGTGCATAGTTTGCTGAGGTGAGCAGCCTGTCCCTGATGGATGAAGAGCTCCTTAAGCACCTCAGTGTGTATAGAAATCATTCTGATAAATAGGAGGCTGAAAAATTAAACCTATATAAAGTAATAATTTTAGAATTTGTGTACTATTCAGCAATGTGCACCTTGTCAGTGCAGTAAATTAGAACAGAATTATTTTTTTAATTTAATGTCATGAAACCAAAAGGGAAGAACACACTTAGCTTTTCTCAGCCTGAGAGAACTGAAGAAAATATTCAAACTTCGACTTGCATTACTGAAGGATTCTATGGATAAAATATTGAATGACACTGGAAACATCAGTAGAAGATGGAAGGAATACACAGAGTCATGGTATCAAAAAGAACTGGTTACTATTTAACCATTTCAAGAGTGCCATATCATCAAAAACTGACGGTAGTGAAGGAAGAAGTCCAAGCTGCACTGAAGGCAGCTTGTGAAAAACAGGGCTCCAGAAATTGATGGCATACCAATTGAAATGTTTCAGCAAAGTTATGCATCTTTAGGGGCACTTATTCATCTATGGCAAGAGACTGGAGGAGATCCATATTTGTACACATTCCAAAGAAAAGTGACCCAATGGAATGTGGAAACCATTTAACAATATTATTAGTATCCCATGCAAATAAATTTTTGCTAAAGATAATTCAAAAACATTATCAGCAGTACATCAACAGGGCTGTGCTAGAAATCAAGCTGGGTTCAAAAGAGGATGTGGAAGGACATCAGCTGCATCTTGATTGAAAGCAGAAAATAGCAGAAAGAAGTTTACTGATGTTTTATTGACTATGCAAAGGCATTCGACTGTGTGGATCATAACAAGCTATGAATGACATTATGAAGAATGGATATTCCAGGACACTTAATTGTGCTCACGAGGATCTTGTACATAGACTAAGATGCAGTTGTTTGAATATAACAAGGAGTTACTGAATATTTAAAATCAGGAGAGGTGTGCATACCAGGGTTATTAGATTTTTGTCTTTTGTTAATAGTTTTTTTTTTTTCTTATCACCATAATTACTCAATTTGTATGCTGAGCAAGTATCTAAGAAGCTGAATTATGGGAACAAGAATGTATTATGAATGGCAGAAGACTCATTAACAATCTGCAATATGCAAATGATACACCATTGCTCCACTGGAAACAAAGAGGACTTGAAGTACTTACTGATTGAGAGCAAGCTTTCCATGTAGATTGCACCTTTGTGTGAAACAAATGAAAATCCTCATAACTAAACTAATAAATAACATCATGATAAATAGAAAAGATGGAAGTGGTCAAGACTTTATTTTACTTGGATCTACAAATGACACTTATGGGAGCAGCAGTCAAGAAATTAATTGACATATTGCATTAGGCAAATTTTCTTCAAAAGATCTCTTTAAAGTGTTATAGAGTAAAGATATGATTTTAAGAACTAAGGTGTGCCTAACCAAAGCCATGATACTTTCAGTTGTCTCATATGCATCTGAAAGCTGGACAATAAATAAGGAAGACTGGAGAAGAATTGATGCAGTTGAACTGTGGTGCTGATGAAGAGTGCTGAAACTACAATGAACTGCCAGAAGAACTAATAAATCGGTTTTGTAAGAAGTCTGGCTGATTGCTCCTCAGAAGCAATGATGGAGAGACTTGTCTCTCAGACTTTGATCATGTTGTCAGGAGGTACTAGTCCTCAGAGAAGAACCAGTCTCAAGAGAAGGATATCATGCTTAGTAGAGGGTCAGTGAAAAAGAGGAAGACCTCCAATGATAGGAGTTGACACAGTGTCAGCAACAGTGGGCTCAAAGAATTCTGAGAGTAGCACAGGATGGGGCAGTGTTTTTTCTGTTGTACATGGGGTTACTCTGAGTCAGAACCAACTTGATGGCACTTAGCAACAACAATGTCATAAAGTTTGGTAAGATTTTAGTCTCTGCCATTAACCTTTAAGTTTATTGTTATTTATTATTATTATTATTGTGTTATCAGGTATTTTATTGTTAGATTGTAGTCTTCTATTAATACTTGGTTTTTAAAATCAGAATCATACATCGTTATTCTAATCATTTAAATGATAGAGATAATGTATAAAGAAAGTTTACTTTCTTCCTGTTTTCCATTAATTCACCAATACTTGAGTGTAACTCCTTCCATACCTTTAATCTGTTTGATGTCTTGTGTGTCTTTTGGTATTATGTATAGATATTTTATAACACTGAAGTTTTTAATTTTCATATAGTCAAATCTCCCCTCCCCCCTTTTTCACATCTGGATTCCTTACATTGCTTTACATTCTTACAACTGTTTTGCTATTTATTTTCCTGTACATAGAAAAAAATATGAAAGTTATAAAATGAAAAATACCTTGAGAAACTTTAAAATGTATGACTCTATTTTACTTACTTCTTGTAGTCTGTAATCTGTATATTATTTATTATTAATAAGCCTGCTGTGGTTTTATGTTTCCTTAACATGGTGACACATCAAGAATTAGTAAGCTGTGTTGGCTGGACTACTGCTGAAGAGCTGTATTCATGTAGTGATGATCACCAGATAGTGAAGTGGAACTTGTTAACCGGTGAAACAAGTCAAATAGTAAAGCTTCCTGATGATATTTACCCGATAGATCTGCACTGGTTTCCGAAAAGTCTAGGCATAAAGAAACAGACTCAAGCGGAAAGCTTTGTCCTCACAAGTTCTGATGGTAAGTTTTCAATAAATGTTATATGTATATTTATATTTAAAGTACATAATATGTGATTAAGATTTATGGTTTCACTTATTTTGCAAAACTGGTATTTGTAGATTTGTGTACCTATTATCATGAAGAAATTGATTTAAACTGGAGTATATTGGGATTGAATGTGTACTTTTACTGTTCTCCTCAGAGTAAAACTGTCATCATAGTTTTGATTTCTAATATCCTCAAATTTAATTATAGCACAAAATCACTTAAAAAAATAATGGACATTACTCAGATTTGTTTAGCAAGTTCTTTATTAAATATAACTTTTAGTATCCAATACATATTAATTTCCACTTAAAAGAGTTGGAGATTAAAAGGAGCTCTGGTACCGTAGTGGTTACGAATTCGGCTGCGAACCTTAAGGTCAGCGGTTCGAAACTACCAGCCGCTCCGTGGGAGAAAGATGAGGCTTTCTACTCCCGTAAAGATTTACACCCTCGGAAACCCTGTACAGGGTCGCTATGGGTCGGAACCGACTCGATGGCACTTAACAACAACAATAACAACATAGTTGTATTATTGGTTAAAAAAATCTTAATTTACTCCTACTTTTTAAGGGAATGTTTTTAATTGTTGTTTTCTGAAAAAATATACCTAAGTAAAGTATAGCATCTGCAGGAAGAGTGCTGTTTTCTCAGTATCTCTGGCAGGCAAATTGCAGAGAGGGTCCTAGTCAGGCTGAGTTATGTACCCATCACTGACTGAATCACTTTAGTCAAGGAGATGGATTAAGGTGAGTAGAACTCAGGTCATCCCCATGAAAATGGAGGTAAGAGAACTTTTGTAAATACAAGAGGGAAGAAATGTTATGGAAAGCAATAACGTCAGAATCCACTTATTTCCAGAAAGAACTGTGGCAGGTTTTTTGTTGTTTTTCTTTAACCTCATTTTCCGATTAAATGAGTTGTATGTGTGAAAGCAATTGTGGCCTAATGCATAGACAATTGAATCCAATGTGGAATTTGACTGTGTTTGTATCACTAGAATTTAATTTACCTCAGGTGATGAAGTAGAGGATTGATTTCTTTTTAAACAGTTTATTTTTATACAATTTCACATTTATAGGAAAGTTGCTAGAATAGTACATTGAATTCCTACATTTCCTTTATCCAAATTCACTGATTATTAACATTTGGCCTAGTGCTGTATCATTGGCTCTTCTCTCTCCTGTACTTCCTTCTATACTCACACACACATTAATCATCTGAAGCATTTGAGATTAATTTGCAGATACTCCTCTTTAACCATAAATCCGTAATTTCCTTAGAATAAGGATTTTTTTCTTACTTTAAAAAAAACTTTATTTTTATATAATTATGGTTGTTGTTGTTGTTAAGTGCCGTCGAGTCGGTTCCGACCCATAGCGACCCTTGTACAGGGTTTCCGAGGGTGTAAATCTTTACGG